TTTGGGATCTAGATGCTGGGAAGAAAAAAAAAAAAGAGTCACAGAAGAGGCCAGTCCAATGTCATATGACCTGGGCCTAGAAGTAGCGCATATCACTTCTATTCCGGGAACCTGGGAAAAGAGGGGGCCGTGGGGACAGCCAGTCTGGCTGGGCAGCCTTGGGCATTATGTACCTACTTGTCTTCAGAGCAAAGAGGGTGGGTTGGGTGGGCAACCTGCAAGCTTCCCTGCAAGATCCTAATGCATACCCACATCTCTCAGAGCATCCACTTCTCCAACCTCTGCTTCGTATAGGTGAGGAAATTGATACCCAGTGATAAGAAATGACTGTTTTGCCGAAACCGGTTTGGCTCAGTGGATAGAGCGTCGGCCTGCAGACTGAAAGGTCCCAGGTTCGATTCCAGTCAAGGGCATGTATGTTGGTTGCGGGCACATCCTCAGTAGGGGGTGTGCAAGAGGCAGCTGATCGATGATTCTCTCTCATCGATGTTTCTAACTCTCTATCCCTCTCTCTTCCTCTCTCTGTAAAAAAATCAACTATATATATATATATATATATATATATATATATATATATGTATATAGTTGATTTATATATATATATTTATATATATATATCAACTATATATATCAACTATATATATATATATATATATTAAAGAAGATATGTTTATTAAAAGAAAAAAAGAAATGACTGTTTTGGGGAAACAGATTGAGTCAGTAAAATAGATGAAGATTTATCTATGACATTGCAAAGGCTCTCTCCTTACTTCAGCACCATCCCTGGACTTGAGGCCAGGGATTCTTTTTCATTTCAGAATTGTTGATAAAGAAATTGTTCTTTTTTAAAAAAATTTTTTTACAGAGAGGAAGGGAGAGGGATAGAGAGCCAGAAACATCATTGAGAGAGAAACATCTACCAGCTGCCTCCCTCACACCCCCCACCGGGGATGTGCCCACAACCGATGTACATGCCCTTGATGGGAATCAAACCCGGGACCCTCCGTCCGCAGACCGACGCTCTATCCACTGAGCCAAACCGGTTTTGGCTTGATAAAGAAATTGAGTGCACTTTATGGTGGGAAAATAGAGGGAATGGTTAGAGACAAGAAGGGTACTTCTCTTATGCTAAGTCACCCCTCTCAGTATCTCTTTCTCATATCTTTGTTAATGTTCCATCCCCAACTTTGTTTCTAGACCCAACTCTCCTTTCCTTTCCCTTTATCATTAAACTAGTAGCCTTGGGCAAAAATCCATATGCCAGTAACTCTCTGTGGGGTCTGGCCAGAGGCCAGATGAACAAGTGGCCCCACACGGACTGTGTTGTAAAGTCAACTTGTTCAGCTCGTGCCCGATGCCCAGAGGCTCTCTGTGGCCTTGAGACCCATCCATGCCTGGGCACAGAATGTTTGCCTCATTCCCAGAGGGACGGCACAAGTATTCTGCTAAGCCACTCATGCTGCCCATTCTCAGTGGCTGCACCCCCCTCCCACCCCCTAAGGACTGGGGGGACTCTGATGGGGTAGAGAGAGCTGGTTGCTGGCATCTTGTGGCTATGGGCACCACCATCTTTGTGATGAAGTGACATTTAATTTGCATATTACCCTTTTATTAGATAGGATAGGTCTCCTTTATCACTCCTCTAATGCTTCCTCGCAGCTATAGGGATTAGACATATACATGTTAGGGTCACTGAAGGAGGAATGCACAAGTGATAAGGGATTATTAATTTACTAGAGGCCTGGTACATGAAATTCATACATGGGGGAGAGGGGGTTGTGTCCCCCAGCTCAGCCTGCACCTCTCCAATCTGAGACCCCTTGAGGGTTGTCTGACTGCCTGTTTAGGCCTGATCTCCAGGTGATATCAGACCTAAATGGGCAGTTGGACACCCCTCTCACAATCCAGGACTGCTGGCTCTGGACTGCTCTCCTGCCTGCCTGCCTGATTGCCCCTAACCATTTCTGTCTGCTGGCCCTATTGCTCCTAATTGCCCTCTCCTGCTGGTCTGGTCATCCCTAACGGCTCTCCCCTGCAGGCCTGGTTTCTCCCAATTGCCTTCCCCTGCTGGCCTGATGGCCCACAACTGCCCTCCCCTGCCAGCCATCTTGTGGTGGCCATCTTGCATCCACTTGGGGGCAGCCATCTTTGACCACATGGGGGTGATCATCTTGTGTGTGGAGTGATGGTCAATTTGCATATTACCTCTTTATTATATAGGATTAGGTCATCTGAATATCAGATGGTCTGAACCCCCAAATGGTGCCAAGACTCCAGGGATGGGGAGTCATAAATTTTAAAGGACTCTTGGTGGGCTTTTTCTGGGTTCTGAGTGGGAAATTCTCTGGGCAGATCCTGAGGGGAAAGATAATGGTCTTAGGAAGTGGAATTTGGTCTAAGCAAAAGGGAATGTCCATTGTGAAGTGGCCTGAAGGTCAGTTCCCAGGAGAGAGGGTATTGATTCAATTATTTGATCAAACCTAACATTATACGTATATAGCTCCATACCTTGGAATGGAGCTTGTGAGATTAAAAGAGCTGAGATGATAGGATGCAAAAAGAAAGAGAAAGAGCATCAAGATCAGCCCACCAGCCTATCATTTGGCTCACTGGATAGAGTGTCAGCCTGTGGACTGAAGGGTTGGGGTGTGATTCTGGTTAAGGACACATGCCTGGGTTGCGGGCTCAAACTCCAGTGGGGGAGCATACAGGAGACAGCTGATCAATGATTCTCTCTCATCAATGATTCTCATAATTGATGTTTCTATCTCTCTCTCCCTCTCCATTCCTTTCTGAAATCAATCCTATCTAATAAAAGAATAATATGCTAATTGACCATCACTCCAACACACAAGACGGCTGCCCCCATGTGGACACAAGATGGCCACCACAAGATGACCAGCAGAAGAGGGCAGTTGTGGGCAATCAGGCCTTCAGAGGAAGGCAGTTAGGGGCAACCAGGCTGGCAAGGTAGGGCAGTTAGGTGTAAAGAGGCCAGCAGGGGAAGGAAGTTGAAGACAATTGGGCCAGCAGGGCAGCAGTTAGGTATCAATCTGACTGGCAGGGGAGTGATTAGGGGGTGATCAGGTTGGCAGGCAGAAGCAGTTAGGGGCAGGCAGGCAGGCAGGCAGGCAGGCAGGTGAGCAGTTGAGAACCAGCAGTCCTGGATTGTGAGAGGGGTGTCCAACTGCCAGGTAGAATCGGGCCTAAACAGGCAGTTGGACATCCCTTGAGGGGTCCCAGATTAGAGAGGGTGCAGGCTGGGCTGAGAGAGACCCCACTTGTCCCTTGCATGAATTTTATGCACTGGGTCTCTAGTAAAAATATATTTTTTAAAAAAGATTAGCCCCTCCCCCCCCCCCCCCGGCAAAAAAAAAAAAAAAGAAAGAAAGAAAGAAAGAAAGAAAGAAAGAAAGAAAGAAAGAAAGAAAGAAAGAAAGAAAGAAAGAAAGAAAAGATTAGCCTACCAAAGGAAGTGAAGACAAGGACTCATGTTCTGTTGACTGTGAAGAGAGCAGCCTCAAAACAACAAAGACTGGGAAGGTGCTGGGCACAGGTTAGGTAGGAAGAGAATGGAGCATCAGTGGCCTTAAAAGCCAGCCTGAAAAGTTACATGTGAAGCTACAAGAAAAAAAAGGTGCCCTCTGTAGTTTGCAAGCATAAAAGAGACATCTGAAATCCCCTGCCTGTTATCATCATTAAGGACCTTAAGATACACATTATGTCAAAGGGGTGACAGGCTTCAACAGTGAGAAGTGCTAGCACACAGGAGCTTGCCTCTCTGCTGCCCTCTACATTTGACATCTTTCGGGCTTCATAATATGATGACTGGTTAGATCCCGGGAGACTGGGCTGCCAAAGGCTTGGAATAGAGTGCCAGAGCTCCTGATTCCTTCAGAGAAGTGGAAAAATTTGGTCTGTAGAGGATGCTCCTGACGTAGAAAAAGGTATCTATTCTGAGTCTTTGCTCTTCTCTCCTGGTGAAGGAAGAAATCTGCACTAAGATCTGAATTAAGCTGGATTTGCTTTTTTCTTGCATAGTAACAAAAACATTCCTAGAGTTTGAACAGTTATTGTCTCTGGACTGGCATGCCCATCACCCAAGGCTGGACTCTACAGTAGGATTCTACGGTGGGAAAGAAGTTACTAACATTTGAACCAAGAGGAGACACATTGAACTGCTCCACCATGGATTGAGCCCATCCCGTGGCTGGTGAGTGGGTGGTAGTACTAGCCTTGCCACATGGAACTGTCCCTGGAATTAAACCCAGTGAGTGCATCTCCCTTCTAGGGCCCTGCATTCTCCTCCTGCAGAGAAGAGAACTTTGGGCCACAGAGATTTCTCCCTATCACTTTCTCCCCTGGCTGCCAAATGCAAATTGAATGTTAATTACATACCTACTGGCAAAGCCCATAGTGAATGTTTGTTTTAACAGTCACCACACTGACAAGGAAAACCCAGCTAAAAGATACAAAAATATCTCCCTGCATGGTGGTTGATTGTCAGAGTTGACCGATGCTCTACCACTGAGCCAAACTGGTTTCGGCAGATGGGCTCATTTTTGTGTGCATGCCTCAGCACACACATTTCTTTGATGAGAAGCAGCAATAATAAAATCCCCTATGCTCATTCACTATTCCTCTGAATAAGTTCAGAGTCAGAACAATTAACTTTCAATGATTTATATTAGTTTTGGACCTTCTTTCCTTAATTCTGTCATGTTGGATGAACTTTGCTTCTTGGCTTTATAGTTGAGCAAGGTTGCAATTCAGTGTGTGTGTGTGTGTGTGTGTGTGTGTGTGTGTGTGAAAAGAAAGTGTAGGCACTCTAGGATCAGTTATACATTTTAATGATATTATCCACAATTGTTGATTTTTCATTCATCCAGTTAGTATAAATAACCAGCTTACTGTTGTACTAAAAGGATAGATGTGAATAGAAGAAGGCAATAAATAATACGTATGTTTAGATAGGCTATAGTCTCACAGCTCTGTGAGACTTACAATCTAACACCATTAACTAACCAGCTCATCAGGGAATGACCTGTCAGCACTGCCAATATTTTCTTTAATGAGGTAACACTGTGGTATTGGCACCTGGGAAGCAGTTGGCCTGTAGTAAGCTGGCCCATAGTTACCACCAATTCTGGGCTTTCAAAACAGCTTATGCCAAGATTCTGTCCACGCTTGCAGCTGGGGGTGTTGGAGGGCCTGCAGATCACTTCCATGGAGCCAAGAATGAAGTTATTGCTCCACTTGCATGACCCATTAGCTTCTGAAACTTTTCTCCAGATCACTATGTCATTGTAACACTCTTTATCATTGCCTGGACTGTTTCCCTTGGGGAAGCTATAATGTAATCTTCTGAATGTCAATAATGAAGACACAATATCCTTGGATATGCTAAGGCTAGTATTTTTATACAAGAAAATCAAGTTCATTAATATCTCAATGGTCTGTTTTTCTTGGTCACTTTTTGCCAAGTCATTTTGCATCTCTTCCTCTGAAAATTCTTTAATTGTCTCCATTTTGTTTCCTGAAGATCCTACAAGAATCAACCCCAGGCAGAGTAGCAGCAGAGAGGCCTCCATCTCAGATCTAGGGTGCTCTCTTCTGCAGCAAAAATAAAAAGTAAAAGATAAAACTAAGGAGAATATTAAGGAGCCAGCTCTCTTTTCCTCATGACAGTCATTCCCAGGATTGACCCCTCCATGTACCTTAAAAGACTCCTACCTCTGTTCATGGAAGTATGAAAACGTGAAAAGACAATCAGTGTGGAGACTGAAGACTTCAAATCCCTGCTTATCCACTAACAATTAACTCTACCTCATTATACTCACCTCGGTTCCCCCATACAAAAAAAAAGAAAAAGTGAGAATTACATAAGATAATATGTTTAGAGTACCCAGAACCAAGTCATGTTTCTCTTCCTGTTCTCCTCATCTGGAATCTCACCGGTAGGGCCTGTAATCTTCAAATAGATCACAAGAATCCCACTCACAGGTTCCTCACTGTTCCTGTGTCTCCCATAGCCTCACACAGTACCCAGCGTGTACTTGAAAAAAAAAAAAAAAAAACACAAAAAAAACACCCCACAATGTTATTCTGTCCTCTCCCATTTCTTTCCCCACCAATCTCAGTCATGGGATATCTGCCGTTACCAGTTCCTTTGGCAAAACTGATCCTGTAGAGCACATGTGTCAAACACAAGGCTCACGGGCCAAATCCGTCCCGCTAGGCCTTGCAACGTGGCCCGCACCGCGCTGTCATCACTGCACTCTGCTGCGTTTCCATCACAATGACAGTTTATGACTGTTCAGTAAACCATTTGGCCCGCGATTTAGGCTGGATTTTAGATTTTGGCCCCTTCTCTGATTGAGTTCAACACCCCTACTGTAGAGAAAGCTTCCAGTTTGCTGCAGGGTAAGACGTGAAATTGTATTTGTTTCCTGAGAGTTTCTGCTATTGGGTCTAGCTGAAGAAGGAGGGGCTGAGAAGGGGGTTGGGAGAGTTGTATGAGACGGAAGGAGGAGACAACGTGGAGCCAAGAACACTCAGAGACTGAACAGAGTATCCCTTTGGCTGTCAGGATCCCAGTGACCTGGGCAGCACCAATCTTTCTCTTCTGTGAAATTTTCCCTATTTATTTACATTTTAACCCAAAGTGATTTTTTCTTCTTCTTTGAAACCCTACAGCATAGGTTATATTGCACTTTATGTGGGTTCTTTTTTATTTTTCAAGTAGGTTGATAAATAGTCTTTTCTCCCTCTTATTGAGGCTAAAAATTTCTTGAGCCCAGAACATATTCCCTGCTTTTTTATTTGGTACAGAATCAAACACTGAACCATACACTAGTTTCTCAGCAATGTTTGTTAACAGCATAATATGGCTTGACTAGTGTAGAAAATTCTTGAGTTCAGTGCTGGAAAATTCACAATGAGCTCCCAGAAAGAAAGGTTATTTACTACTTCTCTGATCTCTAAGAGCCTCCTTCCCTTCCACTTGTATCTTCAGCATTATCACACTTATTTATATCCTGCTAATCATTCCTTGCCCCTCCATTCTTTCCATACACTACTTTCTAAAATACCACATGTAATGACACTATGTTCAGAAACATTCAAATATCCCTCATTGCCTATGTGAGGTAATCGCAATTCCTGAGGCCACTTAGTCAAGGCTCTACTTGAACCAATCCCAACATACTTCTCAAGGCTCATCTCCCATTATTTTGGTATCAAGGCTCTCATCAAATCAGTATGACTCACTCCCTTTGAATGCACTCTGTTTCATCTCCATTTTTGTCCTTTCTGAATGCCTACTATTTTCTGCCTCTTAAGATCCTTCAAAGCCCAATTCAGACCCCATTCTTTCTTTGACATATTTTCTCATTACTTAAGTTTGCCAAATTTATTTTTCATTTATGTCCTGAACTTATAAATCTAAACTTCTTACCACCCACTTCTTTTTTTTCTTACTCAGTTTTCTTTCTTTTTATTAAATAATTCTTTATTGTTGAAAGTATTACATATGTCTACTTCTTTCCTCCAGGATTCCATGAATCCTCTCCAGCCCACCCTTGCCCCCTGTTCCAGGCCTTCACTACCCTATTGTCTATGTCCATCTACCCACTTCTCCTTCCCCTTCCCCTTCCCCTTCCCCTTCCCCTTCCCCTTCCCCTCCTCCTCCTCCTCCTCCTCCTCCTCCTCCTCCTTAAAAATGTTTTTATTGATTTTAGAGAGAGAGAAGGGACAGGGATAGAGAGAAACATCCATGAGGGAGAAACACTTTGATTGGCTGCCTTCTGCACGCCCCCTAGTGGAGATTGAGTCCACAACCCCGGCATGTGCCCTGAAGGGAAATCTAATTGGTAACATCTTGGTTCATAGGTCAATGCTCCACCACTGAGTCAAACCGACTGGGGAGATCTCCCACTTCTTATACCACTCATTTGACATTAGTATATATGGAATTATATATTTTTTGTTATATTCCATTTAAAAATGTCCTGTATGTAAAATGAGAGCAAAGGCCCAGTATCAAGAATATATGAGCCTTAATAATTGGGTTGATTGATTATGAATAGATTATTAAGAATTAAGTGGATGTATTCATGTTTGTACCTTGAACATAGACTTGGTGTAGGTTTTGGGAGGCTGAAAGAAGGTTTAGATTGTTTTCTAAACATTGACTGCCATCGATATCAAAAGAGAGGTGATGATAGGAAAGCAGAAAACAAAGAGAAAAATAAGAATAACAGTGTAGAGTCCCAGTTTTCCTGGAACATGTACTTCAAGTGGGTTTGATTTGGGCTGCTAGGTGCCCATTAAAAACAACACCCCCCAAATAAATAAATAAAAAGAAATAAAAACAACAACACCCAAACTGTAAATGTGTAAAACATCACAATTCATTTGAATTGGGCTTTGATCCTCTTTGACTCAAAATACTCAGAGGATAATTTCCAGTGACAGTCTCAGTTGCACACTGGCACTTTAATGGTAATACATTTACCTGTAACCATTTTGTTTTTAATTACCAGGAGGGAGGTTATGAGTAAAGGAAGAGAAATCATTGGGAAGGACAACAAAGCCTAGGGAGAGGAGTAGGAAAAGGAATCAGAATTCAGAACACAGAAATGGGCCCATTCAGTGGTTAGAGAATCAGCCTATGGAGTGAAGGGTCACAGGTTCGATTCCCAGTCAAGGGCATGTGCCTTGGTTGCAGGTTCAATCCCTGGTGGGGCAAGAGCAGGAGGCAAGTAATAGCGGGAGGCAATTAATTGGCATTAGATGTTTTTCTCTATCTATCATCCTCCCTCCCTTTCACTCTCTAAATATCAACGGGGAGTGGAGGAAATAGCCTCAGGTGAGAATTAAAACAAAACAAAAAACATATGTAGAAAGTATTACATATGTCCACTTTCTAAAATGAGCCATAAAGGACACATTTTAACTATTGTAAAGTTTTGCCCTGGAAATGATGCTGCTACCAGGACCCTGCATCATATACTAGGGACCACCTGCTCCTGCTCAGCACCTGAAGATGCTGAGGGCCCTGGTCCCTTGGTGGCATTCAAACGTCCATGAAGACAATGGTGACAATGGGTTTCTGCAGAGAAATGGGTAATGAAACTCAACTGCGAAAGGGCCAGCCCAGATGGGTGGGCCTTGCCCACTTATAGGTTGCAAAGTGTCCTTTACTTACCTCTGTCACTCTCCTCCCCTCTAATCTAATCAATCAGAATTTGTTGCTTACAAAGACAGAGTTAACAACCAGCCTAGGGGTACCTCCTTCTTTGATCTGACCTTTAATTAAGTACAAATAAATAATGCAATAGTTGAAGCCTCTCAACTGAAAAGATCAGAACAGAATGGACCCTGTGAAGCTCATGCCTCCCTGGGGTACTCTAGCTCACTGTAGGAGTTCCCAGCTCTCAATGACAGGATGTAATGTTATAGTTCAGAATTAGTTTTCTCATAACCTGGCACCACTTACCTGCAAATACCCCTTCTTTCTTTCTTTCTTTCTTTCTTTCTTTCTTTCTTTCTTTCTTTCTTTCTTTCTTTCTTTCTTTTTCTTTCTTTCTTTCTCTCTCTCTCTCTCTCTCTCTCTCTCTCTCTCTCTCTCTCTCTCTCTTTCTCTCTTTCTTTCTTTCTCTCTCTCTCTCTTTCTTTTTAAAAAATATATTTTATTGATTTTTTTTTTTTTACAGAGAGGAAGGGAGAGAGATAGAGATAAAGATCTCTCAGCTGCCTCCTGTACATCCCCTACTGGGGATGTACCCACAACCAAGGTACAAGCCCTTGACCGGTATCAAAGCTGGGACCCTTCAGTCCACAGGCTGATGCTTCATCCACTGAGCCAAACCAGTTAGGGCAACCCTTTCTTTCTTACTACTCCCCAGGACTAACCCTCCCTTCCAACAAGGCTAGTTTCTATACGACTAAGAAATAGAAATGTGGCGTAATAGGCTGGAAAGAACCTCAAAGATTATCTAGTTCAAGCTTTCTCACTTTACAGATGAGACAACTAAGGCTCAGAGAGGAAGAGGGCTTCATCAAATTCCCTTCCTTCTCTTCCTTTGCCCTCTAATTCTAAAGATACTCTGCCCATAGTTGAAGGTGAAATAACTGAACAGCCAGTCCAGCTGTAAGAACTAAAAGAGGAAAAGAATTAGTAGTCTGGTCAAAATCCTTTCTGTTTCCTCTGGCGCTGCCAAGAGGAGGTACAATGAGCTCTGAGAGTCTCACTGTCTCCATTTCTCTCCCCAGTCTTCCAAGGAAATGGTTTCTGGCTCCTTCTGATCTCTTTTCCCCTTTCGTTCAAGGCACAGAGGGAACAGCTGAACAGGAGCAGCTGCAGCTTGAGTTGTATATGCCATCTTTAAGAGGAAATCCTAAGAGATGACCCCAATTGCCTCTACACTTAGGACCAAGTATAGGATGAGGGTGGAATGAATGCAATACATGCTCTAGGCACAAAATTTAAGGGGGCACCAAAAAGCCCAGTAATCAAGATGCTATTTTTTTTCAAGATGCTATTTTAATGCAACATTTAAGAATTAATTTAATTCAAAACAATCCCTCACGAACAAATGTCAAAAATGTAAACTATTAATAACAGGACCTGACCCTTCATGGGCACAACTCATGTACTTTGCTCACCCTAAATCCAACCCTGTCAGATTGGCCTTGATTTAAAATTGAGGTATTTTGTTCAGAAGGATTTTTGCATTAATTTTGATTTTAAAAAATATCCTTTATCTGGATTATTTGGGGGGAGGGTGCCCCTTAAAATTTGCATGTAAAGTGAGTGCCTCGCTCATTTTATCCTAAATCCCAATCCTGCATAGGATTCATCAAATGACCCAAAGGAAAGGAACACGACATTGAAACACATGCATGGTTTATGATTTAATTCGGCAGAGCTTTGTTTTTTATTGAAGCAGAATAAGAAGATTCCAGCTCAGCAACACTGGAAGGATTAATGAATTATTGGTAGCTCCCATTTCACTCGGGCTTTACCCCATGTCCACAGTCAGGTGTGCGCCAGGAAGACCCAGCACCAGTGCCCCCTGGAGAGGAGCAAGAGGATCTCAGATTCAGGTGCTGGTCTCAAGTTATTCAACATATTTCTGGAAGTGAACTGGGCCCAAGTCATCGCAAGCGACTACGATAAACCCCTCTGTGGGGGAAATGTGGTACCTGCAGGCAGGGTATCTGGTACCTTCAATGAGCTTACAGACTGATATTTTGAACTTTGTCTCACTCTGGAAGCATAAAAGGCTGGAGTGGTTTTGGCAAGCCATCCTCTTGGGAGAAGTGCAAACGTGATTGATGTTTCGAGGCCTCTCATGGATGAAGACGTGTTCCTTCTTGCAGGTGTTGTCAGGTTCCTTGATGATTCTCTGTATGATCATGTGGTTGCAGTACCTCACAGCGATATTAGTCTGAGGGTAGTCCACATGCAAGTGTTCTATGGTCGACGCCACTACTTCCTCATACAGCTCGTTTTCCCAGAACACAATCATCAGGAAAACGATCACCATTAGTACCATCAGGGGAAAGAGTCCCTTGACATCTGTGGCTGGAATTCCTACAGAGGAAGAGGAAACAGAAAGCAGCAGAAGGTAAGGAGAGTCCTCCAGCCCCATCGCCTGGCTTTGCTCCCCCACCCTTAGGACTGTTTATTTCCCTCACTCTGATAATTAAAATCATGCCTTGCCTGCAAGATCCAAGACCTTTCCCACCATTTCAACGCTCAGAGTGTGGCAGTGAAGTGTCCTCTAATTATTCCCATTTGTTTTATTACTTCCATCACTTCCTTGATGGCACGCACCTGATCTTCTAGTTCTACTGAATCTGTCAGAGAGCTCAGCACACAGATGAACTGACAGAGGCGCCCAAAAGTACCCATGCCTGCTTGTTTCATTCCTGTTGCTGAATGACTTCCTCTCCCTAATTGTCTCAGCTCTCATTCCACCCACTTCTTCAAGCTTTTAGCACTGTCTTCTCATCTGTCCTTCCCAATTCTCCTTCTGCTAGTCCCAATGGGCTCTGTTGGCTCCTCTTACCTTTCCTTTTTGCTGCAGCTTTCACAAGTACCATATCCTTGTGATCATGGGTCTGAGGAAGTCCTCTGAGTCTCCTTGTTCTCTGACAATAACTGGCAGGGAGCTAGTTGAGCGTGGGGCGGGCAGAGTAGAAAGAACAGGCAGGGAGGAGCCCGTAGGGGAGTGTGCTTGGATGGATGCCTTTGGTAAGGAAAAGACCTTAACTTTCAGAGGGAGAGTTGGGTAAGTGAGGCCTTGAGAGTGTCCTCGTTAAAACAAGTGCAGACTTTTCAAAACATTTAGTCAAGTGCTGACCTGTGCCAGACACAGGATTGTCTATTTTCCAAAATTTCAGCCAGTCCTTAGTCAAACCGTGAAGTAGATATTATCTCCCTTTTATCAATGAAGAAATTAATTGCTGAACAGTGGAGATGGAAGATGACAAGGGTAATAAGAATCTCATGTTCTCAATGTTTGACACTTGATCTCCAGTTTCAGTAAGTTTTATTCCCACGTTGAGTTCAGGACAAGGCGGAATAATTCCCTGGCATTGACATTAGTCTTAATCAAGCCCTAGAAAATATGGCAATGGTTCCCAAACTCTGCTGAAAATTACAATCATCTGGGCATTTTTAAGTACCACCTTGAATTCTAGCTATTTTCCCCAACATGATTTAGGAGCTCTCTGAGAAGTGTTTTATCTCTTATCCACAATGAATCCTCCAGACTTCCCCTCCGCTCATCCTGGCTTCCTCTCAGCAGTGCTTCTCCATGGTGTGATGCTGCTTCATGCTCCTCCCGAAGTCTGGATACTCTCCTGCACACTGAATACAGGATATGGGGTATGACAGACTCTCTGAAAATTTTTATATATATATTTTATTGATTTTGTACAGAGAGGTAGGGAGAGAGATAGAGAGTTAGAAACATCGATGAGAGAGAGTCATCGATCAGCTGCCTCTTGCACACCCCCTACTGGGGATATGCCCGCAACCAAGGTACGTGCCCTTGACCGGAATCGAACCCGGGACCTCTCAGTCCCCAAGCCGACGCTCTAACCATTGAGCCAAACCGGTCTCGGCTCTCTGAAAATTTTTAATTGCAAAAGAGAAAAAGAAATCTTAAAGCTGATTTACATATTTACTTCTCCTGGCAGCCATCAGCAGGACCTTCACAAGCACTTCCTCACGAATTGTCCCTTTCCTTGGCTACTCTGACGTGGGTGTGCTTATTCTCCTTATCATCTGCTTTATGTCTCCTCTTTCTCAAGTGCTGGGCACGAAGGGACTGTGATCCTGCCCACAGTGGGGGTGAGGGGCACTCTTCTTCTTCGTTTTTTTGTGCATTCATTGGCTGCTTCTTGAATGTGCTCTGACTAGGGATTGAACCCCCAACCTTGGTGTATTGGGATGACACTCTAACCACCTAAGCTACCCAGCCAGGGCAAGGGGCACTCTTCTTGAAGATGCACTTTCCGAGGGCTTTCCCCACAACTGAGGAGGCATGAATTTCCCGTAGCAGAGAACGGGAATGAAAGAGGTTGCAGAGCATGTTGGGGAGGCCTAATGACCTCACCACCTGCCCTCAATGACTCCTTAGCTTGGCTCTCAAAGACTTAAAAAAAAAAAAAAAAGTTTTCTACTTGAAATACATCAGTCTTTAGCTATTAGTTAAACATACAGCCCTCATCAGTTTGGCTCAGTGGATAGAGTGTTGGCCTGTGGACTGAAGGGTCCCAGGTTTAATTCCGGTCAAGGGCATGTACCTTGGTTATGGGCACATCCCCAGTAGGAGGTGTGCAGAAGGCAGCTGATTGAAGTTTCTCACTCATCGATGTTTCTGGCTCTATATCCCTCTCCCCTCCTATCTTAAAAAAAAAAAAAATCAATAAAATATATATATATTTTTAAATACAGAAGCCTGAGCCTTCCCCCAGACCTGGGGCAAGAAATCAGGCTCTGGGGCGAGGCCCTGGAATCCGCACTTGTAATGAGTAGCCCAACTCTGGGGATTATAAACCAAAGTCTAGGGATCACTACACTACAGGAGCCCTGAATCGGTAAGCAGCATAGTAACTTCTAAAGAACCACACCCACCCCACCATGAAACTGACTTTTTCATTAATATATGGAGCACTCAGTGCCCTGCATGAAACCTGCATGTGAATGACTGTCCGGCTTCAGAGCTTCCACAAGGTAAAGGGTAGGCCCTTGCCCCATGTCATGTGACTAAAGTAGCTCCTCAGAGTGTCTCCTCTAATCCTAACAATAACCATAACCCTAATCCTAACCCTAACCCCCCCCCCTCCACAAGCCTAGGGGAAGGATCTTCCTCCCAAACACACCATTCATTGGAGGAGGAAGGATTGGTCTTTCTTAGTTCTAGTCCTTAATTTTCTGTGTTCTTTTAGCAATTCTGGAAACCAGTTCCTAGGGGACCCTGGAGATGAGGGGAATGATTTGGGTTCCACCAGAAAGAGAGTTTCCAGGGCCAGGCCGGGGAGCAGAAGTGAGAGTTTGTCTGTGGGTTGGGCCCAGGGCCCAGGCAGGGATGACTGGCAGTGACAAAGCGAAGCTAGGACACCATGGATTCAGGAAGGTCTTTTAAAGCAGTAGACACTCTCTTCTCTCCATTCTCTAACCTTTCTTCCTGCTTCTCTATCACCCAGATGCCAACTTTGAGCACCCGTCTTAAGACCAAAAGGTTGGAAATGCTCTAGTACTTCTGAGTTGGAATCTTTTCCCCTTCCCTATTCATTTTCACTAAGAAGCCCTCCCAAACTATTTTCTCTTACTGCTCTTCTGTGGAGAACAGTCAGACGTTCTCCCATTTCTTTCTAACCTTGGAAGTGGGCCTCACCCATGAGGAAATCTCTGCTGGTTCCCACAAACGCTCAGAGAAGCCCAGGTGTCAAGAAATACCCCTAAGTCATGGCAAAAGGCATGAAAGTTTATCAACTCCTCCAGGAATCCTTCTTTAAATTAACTGTTACAGAAAACCGGAGAAGAACTAAGCAATACTTAGAGAGATGGAGTTACATTTATTACATGGGCCCAGAGGAAAATGTCTCTCAAATTCTGGGCCCCAACATGGAGGAACTTTTCCTATGTATATGTTTTTACCTTCTTTGTTTCCCAAATATGGGATGTTTCTGGCCCCCTTTGCAAATTCTTCACAAGCCCCTATGTGCTGGGGCCTTGAGACCTCAACCAAAGGCCTGGCCTGGTGCCAGCACTGATAAATTCGTCTGGGGAAGGCTTAATGGCCTCTCTGAAGTGGAAGTGGTCTATTTTCCTTATTATTTAAGAGAGCAAGCATCTACAGAAGCCAAATTGCAGGGTTAAAATTTAAAACAGCAGTTTTTATATAAGATGGATGCTTCATAACCACTTCCATCTCCTCTTTAAAATCCCATAAGAAGCCTTCCCGCACATGACTTAGTGTGAACGGTTACTCGGTGGGGAGGAAAAAGATCTGTTTGGCTTTCTCCATGCGTGTGCGTGCCAGCTGGCTCCAGCACACCACCTGGTACTTCACAGAACGAAAAGTGCCTGTGGAGCGGATGAACGGATAAAGGATTCCAGATCTTGTTCTCTTCCCACTAACTAGTTGTCTGATCTTACAAAGCCATGACTTCTCAGAGCCCCGAGTTCTTCATCTCTAAAATGGAGGAGGCAGAAAAGAAAAAAAAGAAGAATCGGTCTGTCTAGGAGTCCCTTTCTGCTCTCACAAACTAAGGTTCTGAGTTCAATTAAAGTGACCCCTCTGACTAGTCCCTTAAGATGACAATTCTCTGGGGACCACTTCTACCACTCCCTTCCCTTCTCTCTCTCTCTCTCTCTCTCTCTCTCTCTCTCTCTCTCTCTCTCTCTCTCTCTCTCTCTCTCTCTCTCTCTCTCTCTCTCTCTCTCTCTCTCTCTCTCACACACACACACACACACACACACACACACACACTGGGAAAGTAGGGCTGTCCACTCTACCTCCCTGCCAGGAGTCAGGGTGAGCAATGGGGAAATGGGTCCTGGTACCAGGCCCCAAAGTGAGAACTGGGGCTCTGACTCAGGAGTGTGGCAGAGTGGCTCTGGGAAATAGCCCAAGGAATTGGCACTATGTTCAAGGGGACGCCTCCCTAAATCAAGAACACCTGCTACTGGGGGAAAACGAAAGGGCACGGAGCACGCCGACTTGGAGGGACTTTCTGGCTCCCCTCGGCACCAGCAGAGCTGCTGGCTAAACAAACTGGACGGCAGGATCCATGCAGTCCCCGGGCACCCTTCCAGCTGCCCTCCCACCACATCACCCGTCTCCGTCCGCGTGAGCCTGGTTGTGTCCGGGAACAAGCTGCTTCTGATCTGGGCAGAACCAGTTCGAAATCAGATGAGAGGCTATCTACCCCAGCCTTGCCGTCCCAGCCCCAGGCTGAGAACAGGAGGCCCTTTTCTCCCCTGGGGGCAAACCAAGCCATTTCTTTTTTTTATAACTTGTATCCCTGACAGGACTGCCTCCGGGGAATAGCCCAGGGGAGGCCGGGCTGAGGGGAACAGCTGCTTGGGGGGCCCCAGTCTCTTCGGCTTTCCTCTTCAGAGAATGCTTTGATCAGAGCCCACTTGGGCCCCAAACAGGAGCCTTCCGACCCCCTTGAGAAGGACCATTACCCATCCTCCCGGGCAGCCCCTCCCAGGACATTGCCGGGCTGTTTTTCTTCCTGGGCCAGTTCCAGCTTCTCTGAAAATCAGATAGATTTCACTGAAAGAAGAGAAAAATGGTTGTTCCTACCTCAAATAATCACAGTTGCATTAAAAAAAAACCACACACACAAGTAAACAAAACAAAACAAAACAAAACCCTCCCTGTTCTCAGAAGCGCCCAGCTGGAGCAGAATGAACAGTGAGTGGCCTAGCGGTTGTCTTGAATGGCCCAGCCACTGACTAGCTCTGTGACCCTGCCCTCGACTCCGTGGGCCTCCGTGGCCTCCTGCACACGTGGCTGGGAGCTGGCAGAGTTGGTGGAATGCTGAAGTGAAAACAAGGAGCCACTGAGAGTTGACAAAACGCCCCCAGCCATGACATTCCACCGCGCAGGACTCTGTGGTGGCTC